CCTAGGTCCACACTTCAGTGGTGGATTGAAGCATTTAGTCTAAAAAAACACAAACAAACCAGAAAAACCCACTAGGTTCCAGACTTTGTCTACTTTGTTTTTGGAGATATCCAATACTTGGCAATATTGATAACTCTATTCTAAATCAATTTTATATCATGTGCTTCTATCTTTAAAGCTAAATTTTGTAAAACTGTTATGCATGCTGATAAAAAGCAAATGCACAAAATAAAATTTATAATGTTATAATGTAAATCATCTGCTATATGTTCTAGTATCTGCTAAGACATTGAATTGTTTTTAACATTACGTGTAGCTGCAAGATGTATTAGCAATTACATCCATAGGAAAGGAATTTAATAGGCATTTCCTTGCAAATCTAGATACGAGCAACTACTGAAATTTTCTTGACATGTGTTTGATTTTCACTTTCTTTATAATGTGTTACTTTGCTGAAACCTCATTCAAAGGCTAGGAAGATTGAACCCCTGCAAAATACACTTGAAGGTTAAGTAACTACAGATCTCAGCTAATCCTGTGTAATCTGCTCTTACTAAATGGCTGTTTGCATTCCAGGCACACCAGTCTCTGAATGCTTAGGATTTGGTTTTTACCTGTTGTTCCAATAACCTCTAAAAGGAGCAATGCATCTCTTAGCATGTCTGGGCGTTGTGCTTAGCTTTTTGGAAGGAGTGAGTTGTTTATGTCCTTCACAGTGCACCTGCGATTATCACGGCAGAAATGATGGCACGGGATCAAGGTATGCTACTAAGTGTTCTAATGATTCTGAGGAAAGGGACCCCCATCAGCCTTATTTGAAAGCAAACTGTTGATCAGAAATCAGAGGAGAGAAGGTTTAATTTACATAAGCTTTAACTTAGTTGTGTTAATACTGGTTGCCAATGCTATGCTTTTATCTTGAGCAGTTTAGCTCTTAAAAGCCCCTCATTTTTATTTGAGACCTTCAAACACATACAAAAATGTTCATTGCACTTGTGTTCAGAAAATGTTCATTTCAGGAGGTCAAGCTGAAATGTGTGTGGCCCGCTCAGCCTGATTATAGAAAGCAGGGCCGATCAGGAGATGCTAACATGCTCAGATCATTTGCTTCCCGAGTTTTCCATTTCATTTTGAGGATTGTTCATGCCAACTGGATAGACCTTAGAAAGCAGAAAGGACTCTCATAAGAGTGAAATTACAGACATTCATAATTAGAATTTTTCATTTTAAGATATTGGAATTTACAAAGAGAAGAGGTTTGAAAGATATGGATCAACTCTATCAGTTGCCGACACTGT